TTGTTTGTTTTGTTTTGTTTTTTTAAACATGGCTCTGATGTGGCATGACTTTTCTGAAGGCATCTTAAGGTTTGAAGATGTTTTCCCTCTGAGCAAAGACTACTGTTACATAACTGGTAGTGATTGAGACTGTTATTTTTCTTAATATGTAAAAGTTTATGTGGCCTTGGAATTCTGTTTGACTATGAGCAAGTGGCACTACTACTTTTGTTTCTTCTATTGCTTAAAATAGGAACAATTACATTTACTTTTGTGAAGGGCATGAAGGCATTCTTTAACCTGTTTAAGCAGGTTCTTACCTGCTTTCGGTTGTGTTGTAATTCCCTAAGCCTACAGAATGGCAGACTACACTTTAAAAGGGCATTTCCTTAGAAAGTAGATATTTTGATTGCTTAAAGAAAAACAGGTACTTGCATTGCATCACTTTTGATGTAAGAATTTTCAGGTCTGGAATGCAGATAACATGAAAACAGGCAAAACTGTAGAAGTAAACAGAGTGAAACAATTAAGCATCATTAAGCTTTCCTGAGTATGTTTTCCAGTTTGCCAGAAATGTATAATTTCAGACATGAGTATTACACTTCTTTCAAATTTTTAATTAATTTTTTTTTTTTTAATAGTTGTGCGACAAAGAAGGGAAGCAGATGCGGCTTTGTTTTCAGAACTCTACAGAAAGCTCGGTACACAGGTACAATAATAAATATATATAAAGTAAAAAGCCTGAAAGCACATACATGCATCCTTCTGATGTTATAGAGTTGTTTTGGAGAGTGTTCAGGTCTCTAACAATATTTTTACTCTGAGGACAGTTGAATACTGGACCAGGTTGCCAAGGAAAGCTGTGGAGTCTTCATTCTTGAAGACAGTTTTGACTAGACAGTCATGGGCAGCCTGCTGTAGAAATCCTGTTTTGAGCAGATGAGTTGGACAAGATGATCTTCAGAGGTGCTTCTCAACCTCAACCATTTTGTAATTTTTGTGAAAAAGTTTGCTTTTTACAGGTGTGAGTTTTTTTTTGTTTTGTTTTATTTGTTTGGTTGGTTGTTGGTTGGTTTAGTTTTTTTTCTTTTTTACTATGAGCTGTTTGCTGTTAATTAGAAATCAGTTTGAAAGAGAATAAAGAACATAGTTTGAGGCCAGCTACACAAAGGGGCACTTTGTATGAAGGAAGGAACTCTGGAAAAATAGAAGTGTTGTATTTTCTTGTTGTGATTTATTTTACATTAGTGCCTTGCAAGTATATTGATTTTATTAGTCTAGGGTTCAAATAGTCCTCTTGCTTCTGAATTTTTAAGTATTCTAAGTCCTTAATGTTGAAGGGTAAGAGTTTGCTGACCTTGGTGGTTCTGCTAACACCAGTGTTAGTCAAAGAATACTGCATGTTGATATTCTAACAAAAATTGTTACCGTATAGAAAGCCCATAATTCAGGAAAGTGGATCAGGTGAAAGAGTAAAAGATGTGAGGGCAAAAATGTAGCTGAGGTACGTGAAAAATGACTGCTGCTAATCTGTTCTGGATTCTTCATAAAACTGAGTATTTAGCAAGGTAGAATATGGTGGGCAATAATAAAATAAGATTTGCAGTCGTTGTTTGCACATACTTGATTTTTGACAACAAAAATTAGTTAATGTAAAAGATGATGTTTACTACATAACAGAAAATCTGTCTTTATTTGCGCTTCGTATTTAGGAGAAGTGTTTTTCTGTGTTCTGTTTTTTATTCCATAATTTATGTATAGATCATGGCTGAGTTTTACAGGATAATACTAAGATTTTAAGGTTACAAGAAGGTGATTCTGTGGAGAGTATGACCAGTGAGAACTAGTCAGAAGTTCTGCCCTTCACCTGTACTTAACTTACCCATTAGTTTGTTAGTGCTTGGAGCTGAAGTCACTCTGTAACTCTTCCTGGTTTCATTATCCTGTATGTTTGTGTATTATTTGCATTGGTTTGTATAAGTGAAGCAAGTGTCATTGGCTTGCAGACACCTGTTTCAATGACCTCAGTCACTGGTTTCAACCTCATGCATGTATTACACTGATCTTGCTCATTTAATACAGATTTTCTGTAGTGTGTTTCTTTAGCTTATATAACGTATCACCAGACCATTGCATTTAGCAAACAGCACACCTGCAGAGCATGATGGCTGTAAACTTTGGAACAAAATGCATTATCTGTGTTGTTACCAGTTTGGTTATTCTTCCGAATGTAAATCAAGCTTACATCAGCTATCCATATTTTGCTGGCATCTTAAATGCTTGAGGTTCTTCTAACTTCTGCTGGTTTTGGTTTTGGTTTGGTTTGTTTTTTTTTTTTGTTTTCCTCTGTGCTAGCATTTTGTGTACATGAAATGCTATCATCTGAATAATGTTCTTTAAAATTCTCCGTTTCATTCTACAAATTACTATTTAATCTGCTCTTAAGTTTATTACTACTAGTGGACAAACATTTCTTTTCCTCATGAGCTTAAGGAAGGGCACAGAAGGAATATGTGTCTTCAGAATCAATGAGGCTTTTTCTTCTCCAGCAATTCTCTTGAAAGCAGCTAGGAGAAAGAAGAAAGCTAGTGTGAATCTGTTTTAACTTTGTTTCATCCATTACTCCAAAGAGAAAAGGAGGTCAGTGCTTTTATTTTAGTGGCCAGCTTGCCAGTTGAGCAAACCATGCTTCTTGAGGCACTTAGACTCATTCTGTCCTGGCCAGTAGAGGCAGCAGTAATGTTGCTGCTCCTTCTTCACTAGTTGTTAATGAGTTGCTGAGTTAGTTATTTGTGACAAATACAATACCTCTGCTTCTTGCTTGTTGTTGAGGTCAAAGCAGGAGATACTAGACTTCTGCTCAACATAATAGTTTAGAATGTCTCCTTCTACTCTTATGTAACAATATAGAGCTTTGGTAGGTTTGGTTGGTGTGCTGTGTCCCAAGAAAGAAATGTTCTGTGGCCAAAAGGTCATATACTATGTAATGTATACATGTAAAATGTGTAATCTGCAGAGAAACAGGAAAAACAGAATAGGGTGAGAATGAAAATGTGCCTTTTGCAAGACTGATAGCACTGAGCTGCATCCCTTCATAAGGGATAGAGTCTTTGTTGGATATTGGTATTACTGAAGTTTCCCTTATATTTGATATTGCTTAGTGTTCAGACCATAGCCTGATCAACATTGTGAGGGAGCTTGTATGAATTTCTTTGACTTACTCCAATATGTAATGTCCATTATGAGGTTCTATGTCCCTGAGCCATTCAGGTGTGTTAGTGTCACAGAAATGCTGAGTAAAATATTTAGAAATATATGCATATCTAAAATAAAACATACTAATATTTGCTATAACTTTTCTTCAAAGCATTCTCTTTGTAGCTTGAGCTTTAGCATTGTTCTGTCTTCAGCTGGTAAGCTTTCTGCTGAGATCTAAAGCTGCTGAGAGTGTTGTTCTGACAGTCTGTAGGTACCTATTTGTTTACTTAAAGACTATTGCATATTGCTCAACTTTCATGTTAACAATGGCTCTGTCTTAAGCTGTTAAAATTTTGGTAGCTCTCTTCAAGTTTATTCACCACTTAAATTTATTACCAAGTAGTACAGATTGAAACCCTCAAACTTGTAAAGCCTCCCTGTAAAGGAGATTGAAGGGGAAAATCTCCACTGGCAGACAGACATTTCTTTTCTAAAAATTGAACTGAGTTTTCCTTTTTTGCCTTTAGACTAGCATCCGCATCTGGGATGATTTAAATGCTAAGAGTGTGTGGGAATGCCAGTAAAACCTTAACTGTATGTAAACCTCTTTCTTAGGTAGGTATGAGTCGGTAGCTTAGTAGCTATGAATTTTAAATTGAGTGTACTTGCTGATCTTGGAGCAGGTGAGAGTTCATGGTTTGAACACGGTGGAGAAATTAGCAATACAGAGGCTGCACTGCACGTTCCATTTACTCAAGAATATGGCTCTGACTTGGTCTTATTTGTGTGGCAAATCTATACATATATATACATCTTAGTGGGCTGGATAATAAAAATTTTAAAAACACCCAACATTATTAGCCAGTAAACCAAACTTTTTTCTGTTCATCTTTTTTTTCCAAGGGCATTTTGAAAAACAAATGGTCAATACTCTACCTCCTGCTTAGCCTTAGTGAAGATCCACGTAAGCAGTCTAACAAGGTAGGTGAAGAGAGCTTTGTTACTTCTGCAAAACAGTAGTGTATGTCACTTGTTTTAGATGTCGTTAAGAATCACTATCCAGACTTAACCAGCACCTCAGCTTGTGGTTGTAGTGTTTGTCTGTGAGGTGTAAACTCTTGAAAAAGCTATCTGCAATTTTTCTGTGCCTTTTTTTTATACTAAGTAAATGTTAAGAATATGAGTTGCCCAACATTTGTAGCTGATGATGTGACTCTTAAATGGATGGGGTTTTTTTGTTTGCTTTCTGCATAGTGATGTAATGTCTGCTAACATGCTAATGAGTTTGAAATGGAGTAGGGAGAGCAAAATTCTTCCTTTGGTTGCAGCTCTTCTAGCACCAAAGTACTTTTTGCAGCTATTGCTAATGACAGTTTGTAGGCAGAAATAAGCTGTATTGCTAAAAGTACTTTTGCTCACTGTAAGAAACTTGCTTTTTTTCCTCATTATAGTTGTAACAAATTTTTCTCTGCATAAACATGGTCTTCAGTTATTTTAGCATTCTTGAATATTACACACCTGTTAACTGAAGACATGACTTAAATCAACTCAAATCTTCTTTCTTTTAATTCCTCACTTTTCAAATCCTTTCCTTTCCAGGTATCAAGTTATGCCACACTTTTTGCTCAAGCATTGCCACGGGATGCTCACTCAACCCCTTATTACTATGCCAGGCCTCAAAGCCTTCCACTGAATTACCAAGACCGCAGTGCTCAGTCTGCCCAGAGTTCCTGCAGCATGGGGAGCAGTGGGATCAGCAGCATCAGCCTGTATGCCCTGAATGGGCCAACGCCAACTCCACAGTCACTCCTCCCAGGGTAAATTAGACTGTTTTACCTTACAAATAGGTTTGGAGAAGTTGAGAGATGGTATCTTTTTGGTGTTTTTTCAGTTTTGCCCTTTTCTTTTTTTTTTTTTCCCCACTTTTCCCATTTATATGCTATTGGAATTTCACTGTAGGTGTATTGGAACTGAATTCCTTACCTGAGTGGTTCTGAATATCAGGTGCTCTCATGACTATGTGAAGCCATAGATAGCTGGCCAAGTGTATCTATTCTAAAACTTATTCATAACTATCTGCTGAACAGCTGATATTTTATTGGATTCACTCATTTGGATTCTAGTGCCAAGTACTTCTCCAAGAATTTCTCAGTTTTCTGAAACCCTTTAAAAATAGTCTATCTTCTGTAAGCACATTGGATTTAGGGCCCTCATTCAAGTTCCGTTTACAAAGCGTTCCTCAGCCAGTGTCAAATTAGTAGATTTAGCATCCTCCATTTTTGAATGGGTGGCCTTTCTTACGTGGTCTGATTTTCTTTTAAGCATGTTAACAGTAGGTTGAGCAGTCTAGCATCTTGAGTGGACTGGGTTTTTTTGAGGGTTTGTTTGTTTTGTGTTGCTTTAGAATCATAGAATAGTTAGGGTTGGAAAGGACCTTAAGATCATCTAGTTCCAACCCCCCTGCCATGGGCAGGGACACCTCACACTAAACCATCTCACCCAAGGCTTCGTCCAACCTGGCCTTGAGCACTGCCAGGGATGGAGCATTCACAACCTCCCTGGGCAACCCATTCCAGTGCCTGACCACCCTCACAGCAAAGAATTTCCTCCTTATATCCAATCTAAACTTCCCCTGTTTAAGTTTTAACCTGTTACCCCTTGTCCTGTCACTACAGTCCCTAATGAAGAGTCCCTCCCCAGCATCCCTATAGGCCCCCTTCAGATACTGGAAGGCTGCTATGAAGTCTCCATTGCAGCCTTCTCTTCTCCAGGCTGAACAGCCCCAACTTTCTCAGCCTGTCTTCATATGGGAGGTGCTCCAGTCCCCTGATCATCCTTGTGGCCTTCCTGTGGTCTTGTTCCAACAGTTCCATATCCTTTTTATGTTGAGGACACCAGAACTGCACACAATACTCCAAGTGAGATCTCATGAGAGCAGAGTAGAGGGGCAGGATCACCTCCTTCGACCTGCTGGTCGAAGATGTTCTTTGGGTTTTTTTAAGAGTAAAAAAAATTGTGCAAGAGTTGATTTTAAAAGATTTGCCTATTAGAAAAAAATATCCTAAACTGCATTCTGTTCATCAGTGGTCTGGTCATGCCAAAGTGAATCGACATTTGGAGCTGAAATATTCAAATACCAAGTAGTTCAGATTTTTGATATGTAAAAGCTGGCCATTAAGCCAAGAGATGACTATGTGAGTATTGACCTTGTAAATAAGCTAATACAAAGTAATGCGCTCAAAATCTGAGCCCCTCTTGTGCCATTGGATATCGTGTTGTATTACCCCTACAGCTGTACAAAGCCTGACAGAGATACACTGCACAGACTCTATCTTTCATGGTGGGAAAATGAACACGTTTGTGGTCTGTGAGAGGGAGTGGTTCAAAAAGGATTCTGTACTATTGGCCTGGAACATTGTCTCATAAAGGTTGAGCATGCAAAAATGAGCAGAACGTTATTAAACTTACAAAAGTAAGGATTTGTACTTATTTGCATAGCTGTTTCAGCCTGGATTGAAAAAGTCTGGAAATAAAGCCTTCATCCAAAAGTGATGGGGACATCAATTTTCAAGAAACTGTAGTTAATGTCCAAAAGACATAAAAGAACATAATAAAAGGGAAAAAAATTATCTTAAGGAATGCAGAAATCATAGAATGGTTCGGGTTGGAAAGGACCTTAAGATCATCTGGTTCCAATCCCTCTGCCATGGGCAGGGACATGAGCTCAATTGTTTTGTCCTAATAGAAGCTTCATTGGTTATTATTTGACACAATTTGTAATATAAGGCTAATTTATGGCAATTTTTAATTAATTTATTGCTTATAATTGGAGATTCCAATATCTTAATTTTCCTTCCTATTCCCAGCAGTCACAAAACAAACACATAATAGATGCATTTTCAGAAGTACAATAGCTTTATTTTGAGTTGAAGATACTTCTCTTTTTTTTTTCTTTTTTGTAATACACTGTATTTGTCATGATTTATTGAGTTCATATTGTGGAAATAAGTGCTAACACAACTGGGTTTTACTGTTATTAATATGCTTTACAAGACAAATCGTTATTGGACTTTGTCAGTGCTAGGTGTGTATGTTGTATCTTAGACATACGAGCAGAGGATACCTTTAAACTCAGAATAATGGGGGGGAGGACTATGCACCTCAACTGAGTGAGGAACTGGTAGACCAGATTAGTAAGCAAAAGGTGCAGTGTGATGTGGTCAAGAGAGACCTTGAAACCAACAAGCAGGGCAGAAGTGTGTCCACCCAGGTACATGCACACAAATGAGGAATGGGGAGAGGACAACCTCCTGGGGAGAGTTCTCATACCTTTCCCGGAACATCAGCACAACTTTGTTGAGAGTGCCTACACACATATGGCAGCATGGGAAACAGACAGGAGGACTTAAGAGATATGTGTGCAATACTAGAGCTGTGGTCTCACTGGGGTCACAGACACATGGTGGGATAGATCATACCACTGGAATGTGGCAGAGTGGATATAGTGAATGTATTTATTTCAACTTTAGTAAGACTTCTGACACTGTCTATGTTGGCATATCCTTATTGACAGACTTAATAAAGTATGAACTAAATAGGGTGACAGTGAGGTGGATTGAAAGCTGACTGACCTAGACTCAAAACTTAGGATCAGGGACACGAAGTCCAGTTGGAGCCTGGTCACTAAGGGTGTAGCCCAGGGGCTGGATCCTTCATCCTGCTTGATGGCATAAAGTGCACCCTCAGCAACTTTGCAGATGATAACAAAACTGGGAGTGGTTGATAAAGGTGGTAATTCAGCTGTTGCTCAAAGGGACTTCAGTAGGCTTCAGAAATGAGCTGACAGGAGCCTTCTAAAGTTCAAAAGAAGTCCTGCACATGGAGAGGAATAACTCCATGCACCAGTACATGCTGGGATCTGACTGGTTGCAAAACATCTTTGCAGAAAGGGCCCTGGGATTCCTGGTAGATACCAAGTTGAACACGAGTGTGGCAAAGAAGGCATGTTCATGGGCTGCATTAGCAAGAGCATCACCAGGAGACTGAGGGAATTAAACCTTCCTCTCTGCTCAGTACTGGTAAAGACACAGCTGAAGTGCTGAGTCCAGTTACGGTACAAAAAAACATGGACAAACTCAAGATAGTCTGGTGAAGGAACCCCAGAACTAATTGAGGAGTTGGAGCCTCTGATATATGAGGGGAGGCTGTGAGAGCTGGGACTGTTCAGCCTGTAGAGGAAAGGGCTCAGGGGATCTTATCTATGTGATTATATCTGACCAGGGGAGTAGAGAACACCCTTCACTTGAACCACGTTGCTCAAAACCCCATCCAACCTAGCCTTGAACAATTTCATGGATGGGGCAACCTGTTCCAGTGTCTTACCGCTCTCACAGGAAAACTTCATCCTTACATCTGATCTAGATCTGTCATCTTTCACTTTAAAGCCATGCCTCCTTGTCCTGTCACTGCATGTGCTTGCAAAATGTCCCTCTCCAGATTTCTTGTAGACCCCTTTAGGTACTGGAAGGCGCTAAGGGCTCCCCAGAGCCTTCTCTTCTTGATGCTGAACAAGCCCAGCTCTTGACTGTTGTCACAGGAGAGGCCCTCCTGCCCTCAGAGCTTCTTCATGGCCTACTTTGGACTCACTCCAAGAGGTCCATGTCCTTCTTGTGCTGAGGACCCCAGTGCTGGACACAGTACTGCAGGTGGGGTCTCACAAGACCAGAGTAGAGAGGGAGAACACCTCCTTTGACCTGTTGGTCATGCTTATTTTGATGCAGCCCAGCATATGGTTGGCTTTCTGGGCTGTGTGTGCATGATGCTGGCTCATGTTGGGTTTCTTCTCAACAAACACATCCAAGTCCTCCACAGGGCTGCTCAGAATCAATTCTCTGCCCACCCTGTGTTTGTGCTTGGGATTGCCCTGACCCAGCTGTAGGACGTTGCACTGGGCCTTGAACTTCATGAGATTCACATTGGTCTGCCTCTCAAGCATGTCAGCGTCCCTCTTGATGTCATCCCTTCCCTCCCATACACCAAACCACACAGCTTGGTGTAAACAGCAAACTTACTGAGGGTGCACTCAATCCCACTGTCCACATTGCTGACAAAGTTGTTCAGTAGTGCCAGTCCAAACACTGATCACTGAGGAATGCCATTTGTCTCCACTTGGACATTAAGCTGTTGATGGCAGCTCTTTGAGTGTGACTGTCCAGCCAGTTCCTTATTCACTGACTGGTCCATCTGTCAAATCCATGTATCTGCAGTTTAGGGACAAAAATATTGTGCAGGACGGTGTCACATGCTTCGGTGAAGTCCAGGTAGATCACATTTGCTCTTCCCTTATCCACCAGTGCTGTAGTCCCATTGTAGAAGGCCACCAGGTTTGTCAGGCATCGTTTGTCCTTAGTGAAGCCATGTTGGCTGCCACCATTCACCTTGTTATTTTGCATGTGCCTTAACATAGTTTCCAGGTGGATCTGCTCCATGATCTTGCCTTTACCAGGCTGCCATGACTTCTCAGATATGATGGATAATGACTTCATGATTCTATGATTCTGTGATATGAGGATTCTATAAAAGGATTATGGTAGAGCTGTTATTAATACCTGTAATTCAAGCCTCAGCTCCAGTTCTAAGAATAGGTCAGTACATAAACACTGAGAACTTCAGTCATGGCAGTAGTGATGTTTGTATGAAAAGCTAAGAAAATGCTGTGGGCAGTTTTCAGGAAGGGTTGGACTGTTGGACCTTTTTGTCACACCGGTCTTTCAGACTGTGCTGTCCACAGGACCTGCCTCATACAGGTTGTGACCCTAGCGGCAGTCAGTGTTGATGAGTGGGAGCAAGCCTCCACTAAGTAATTAGTGTTGAGGACCTGGTGTTCTCAAGGTGCACATTTCAGAGTGGGTTTTATTTTGGAGGGGTCACTTCAGGCTTTCTGTCTATCGAGAATGCTTGCTTGAGCATACCAGCAGAGCTTACCTTGTTCCTGATGTATTCTTGGTCTGACCTCTTTATAGTGTTACATTTTTATAGCAGTTTCACTGCTTTCCCTTTAGTCCTGTAGCCTGTGACTTGGGCAACACAAATTAGATCTTTCTGTGAACTTCATTCCTCCTGTACTTCTCTTTATACATGCTTCTCTTTGTTTCTAGAGTACATTCTTCTTGAATGGTGACAGCCTAATTCAGTGTTGTACTCTAGTGCAGGTATTACAAATGCTAAGCATGACAGAAACAGATGCTCTGTCTTGCAGGCTGTGTTCTTGCTCACTAGCTATAATCATGTGATGTGTGACCATGCCATGAGGCATGCGTGGCTGTTGAGAGACGAAAGGCATTCCTTGACTTTTTACATGGATGTTTGTGTTGCAGTCTTGCGCCATCTCTCCCTGCAACTCCTTTCACAGCTTTGTGGAACTAGTTTATTATTTTTAAAATATGTGTCTATTTCCAAATGTCTGCATTCAGTTGGTAGAGGACAGAGGACTGGTCAGCAGCAAAAATCCCTTGTAGATGTTTTCAACTTTATTTTTTACCATCACGATACATAAATAATCAGAAAGGTAACTTCTAGTCTAAAAATTTTTCATGTTTAAGACTTCTTTTTGAGAAGAATTTGACAAGTTTGAGCGTAAAGGAAATTAGGGCTTGTCTAGATGTGCCCTGCTTGACCACATCTTCAGGCACTTGATGCAAGCTCTCCTAAACTATAGAGGAGCACAAAAGTGAACTTTCTCCTCTTTTTCTGTTTTCCTTTGGCATGTACCTACAGTTTCGAGTAATAAGAAAATGTAAATGTTTATTTATTTATAGCTGTTGTTATTATAATTGACTTCCCTTTTAATCCATTTCAGTGTATTTACACAGTTCAGTGTGAAGATAATCTGTGATACAAAATCACGCTTGTCAAATCTGTACTTCCTTTTCTATAGTTTTGTGTGGGTTTTTAAAGTGCTCATAGGAACTACAGTATGAGCTTACATATATAAGTACTCTAGGCTTATAGGAAGCCTATTGTTTGTATGTTCTGCACCCTTTTTAAGGTTCCATTATTGACGAAAACCCAAAACAGCTACAAACAAAACATCCACGAAAAGCCACCTCAGGCATGTGGCATTTTTCAGCATACCCCACACCAAGTGATGAGCGCAGAATCGAAGTTCTTTAGGATGTTTCTTCCTTTTGTCCTTTTAGACAATCCTATCAAGCTCCAGGCGTTGGAGATTGCCTCCGTCAGCAATTAGGGTCACGTCTTGCGTGGACTTTAGCTGCAAACCAGCCTTCGTTACAAAGTGCTACCTCAAAAGGCATTTCAAATGCTGTGTCCCGTGGTGTTCCAAGGTCAAGGCGAGAAGGGGATACAAGTGGTGAGCAAAGATGTATTTGTTAATAATAACTTTTTACAGTTGGTATCTATATCCTCCACTATTTTTCAATGATTTTGAAATACATTTCTAGCATGTTGAATTTTT